TCTAGGACAGGGGTGCCACCGAAGGCCCAGGAGCTGGATTCGGCCCACGGAGGGCTTACATCTGGCCCACTGGACCGCCCTGGAAACAGCAAAGGCCCAGGGTGGCTCTACCAGTGGAAACGGAGCTTGGGATTGCGTTTTCTCTGGCGGAGCCCTTGGACTACCACAGGCTCCCCTGACACGAGTGACACTGAGTGGCCATGCCCCCCAGCCACACGCACTCCCCCCCCCCCCCAAGGTCAGACACAACCCTGATGCGTCCTTCAATGAAATTGAGTTTGACACCCCTGCTGCAGGGTGCCACTTGCTGCCTGGCCTCCGTCTCTGGGGACGGAGGTTCCCTACACAGCACCGTTTGAGAATCCCTCATCTAGGCAGATCTTTCAATGTTCTGCCAGCTCTTCCGTTATTCAGCAACTCGGACGTGTTCAGCCATGTTTGCAGTCTGGATGGATGTTAACTTTACTTAACCAGACATTTGCCTGGTTAAGTAAAATTTAAAAAAAGCTTACCTACGTTTAGTTTTTGATCGGATTACGCTTGGCAACATTTAATTCTCCTCTCCACCTCCATCCTGCCTTGTCTGTGCCCAGCCTTCTGCTTAGCTGGTTGGCAGTCCTTTGCACACGAGGAGGCCCATTATCCCTCCCTGGCAGCTGAGTGTGAACACGGGCATCGCCCAGCAGAGAACAGTTTGGCCACATTTCAACTCTCCTTTTCTTCTCCCTCTGCCTTGCTCCCAGCAACATATGTATGTATGTATACATGTATGTTTAAGTATATGTATTAAATATATGATAAGGGATGAGAGCTTGTGGCTTAGAGGTTAATATAACTGCCTAACATGTACAAACAGCCCAAGTTTGAATCCCAGTAAGGGTATGGCTAGCTGATGAGAGCTAAATAGCTTGAAATAGATCTATGCTAGTCTCCCTTCATTTATTTATCAGCAAAAACGCAATGCATATATGTATACGTATGTATGTATGTATGTATGTGTGTGTGTGTGTATATATATATATATATATATATATATATATATATATATATATATATATATATTGTCTGTGTGTGTGTGTATTCATCCCTTTAGCTCAGCTAGAAAATTACTTTTTTAAACAGAAAATAGGGTTCAGAGGAATAAGATATATTTTTCTTTCAGAAGCAAGAGTGCAATCCTTTTCTGAAGACTTATACATGTAATTTTCAAATATTTTGGTGCACATCCATGTGCCTTTTTATTTTGTGTATTTTAAAAAATGTAGCTGTGTGTGCATTTTCATTTTCATAAATCATTGGTGCCGTAGAAGGCCCCAGACAATGTTTTTGGCCAAAAACCTGAGCATGCTAAGCAGATAATGGGTGGGAAGCCCCTTTCTTAGCTTGAAGGCCAACTCATTAAAAAAGAGGGAGGAGCCTATTCTTTTCTAGGTGTCTTGAAAGCAGGAATATAGGAGCGAATACCAGGAAGAGCCATAGCCCATAGTCTTATATGCCGCTTCACAGTGCTTTTACGGCCCTCTCTAAGCAGTTTACAGTCAGCCTCTTGCCCCCAACCATCCTTCCTTTCCTTCCTTCCTCCCTCCCTCCCTCCCTCCCTCCCTCCCTCCCTCCCTTCTTTCTCACTTAGCACTTAGACTTATATACCACTTCACAGTGCTTTTACGGCCTTCTCTAAGCAGTTTACAGCGTCAGCCTCTTGCCCCCAACCATCCGGGCCCAACCTGGAAGTCGCCTTGATCTTATGGCCAAAGGGAAGTTTGCAAGGAGACTACGAGGCAAATGGAACTGCCAGGCGGCTTCGGATTCTAAGCTCTTTGCATGGATGGCCTTCGGGAGGCTGGTGCCCCCCCCCCCCCCCCCACGAATTGGTCTAACCTTCCACTCCAGCTGTTCCGAAACATCCTTCCTTTTCAGAGTTTCCCCAATTTGTAGTGGAACTAAACTAGGGAAGGTAGATTTTCACAAATAATCCAAAGCCAAGAATGGTCAGTGAGGTTACCAAATTTACTGATGATATCGGATTATTAAAACTTGCAAAATCCTTCATAAAGCAAAGAATTGAACGTTTCTTCTTTCTTTCCAAACTTAGTGATAAAAATACATGTGATTAAATCTAAACAAATTAAATCCTCTTGAATGAGAGATGAAATGAAATGGGGGGAAAAGCAAATAAGGCCATTTCAAGGCCTTGGAAGTTCACGGTGTCAAAGGTTCCCAAGAATACCATTGGAATTACCTGAGCACCTGAGCACCTGGGTTCTGACAGGAGGGGAGGAAGCATTGTAAGGTGGCTCCCGAGAGCCGTGGAGGTTGATCTCTTTGTGTAGAAGAGGGGGCCTCTGGGAAGAGGGTTTCTTCCTTTGGCTGCCCATCCCTGAGTGGAACCGCTGGGGAGCCTTTCCGAAGAGCCAGAGGAAGCGGCTTCTTCATAACGAGCACAGGAAGCTCACAACCGCAAGGCGGAGGTGGCTAAAGTCCTGGCTCTCCTGGCTGTCGGCTGCAGGGTAGAAGCGGAGGTGCCATTACCTGTGGGAGTTTGGCAAGGACCAGCTGTGTGGAGAGGAGGAAGCCCCGCACTGCAGCCGAGGGACCCAGAAGGACATTTGGAAGCATGTCAAGAAGTAAGGCATCATCTAAGCCCTATTCTCCCAACAGCCGGGCCTTCAAGGCCTTCTGGAACCCTACCAGGCTAGGAGCAGCATAGATTTCATGGGGAGAGCTCAAAGGGTGGGATAACGGGTGCAGGGAAGGTGTGAAAGATGAGGGCGACCCAGAGGATGCCCACTCTGCTGGATAGTAGGAGACGGGCAGAAACTCCAGGAGACAGGTGAGCCCAACCTAGCTGGGCCCTGCGCCTTGTATGGCTTTATAGGTAATAACCAGCAGCTTGAATCGTATCTGGAAGCAGACTGGCAGCCAGAGCCTTTTGCCAAACTGATGTCAGGCACAAATAAACAGAAATATTCATTGAGTTCAAACACAGGAAAATGTTGCTACAAGAATCTAGTCAACCAAATAAGGCTCACCAGATTTCACAGGAGGCTGGGCGTGGCCTCTTGTGGCAATGCCATGACTCCAGACTGATTACATGTTTTACCCCACTTCCAGCTTCTGCCTCTCTCCTCCTACGGCAGAGTTGAGCCAAGCCCATCTTGCTCTGCCCTCTGCATCTGGATAGGCTGAAGCGTCTGCAGGGTCTTTAAGGGCAAAGCCAGGTACGGCCTGGTGGAGCTGAGGTTGGTGTGGTTGGCAATAAAGGGGAATATTTACAGCTGGGGGTTGAAATGAGGGGTCCTTGATGCTCCCTGAGCCTGGTTCTTTTCTTGCAGGTGTAGGTAAGGTCATCAGTGCACTTTGATGCTACCTAGTTTGGGTAGTGAAATGCCTGCAAGGAAACACGCAGGAAGGGCCCCTCGTGGCCTGGTTGATTTATGGATATGAAACTTGCATTAAGGCCAAAAGACTGTTTTTCTTTAACATACTATTTTGCTCAAATTGCACTGTTTTCAGTGCCCAGAGTTTCTTCTGATAGATGATTGGCCATCTGTTTGTTTAACAAACGAAAACTGTTCAAAAGCTCCCACTGTCATGATGATCTTTCCAACTTTTTTTATCAGAATCTAGCCCTTAGTTCCTCCATTGTACATTCAGATTCTGGGAATGGCCATTCCGCCTTTGCCTGTTAATAATCTCTTGTTAGGAATTAAACGTTCCTTTTCAGTCCTGAGTTTGGGGAGAACAATCCTAATGATCAAGATTATTTTTTAACCAAAGTCACTTCCAACCTGACTGAAAGGAAAATCCCTCCAGGGGAATTGCAGAGGGATTGAGCTCTTGTTGAAAGGCTGGGCAGGGGGGGGGGGGGCTCAAAAAGCAGGCAGGCCCACGGTTATGCTTCTCCTGCCCCAAATAGGGAGCGGAGAGGAAAGCAGGAAGCCTGAACTCACATGGGAAGGATCCTGGCCCGCCTCTCTCCCAAAATATTTTGGGATTTGGAGTTGAACTGGGGTAGGATGGGTTTCTGTCAGAACAGGCATCCTCTGATCACACCTGTCTGTCATAGAGGATCCAGTCATTAAATATTTGCACTACAACAGGAGCAGCCTAATTTAGTTTTTGTTTCTTTCTCTCTGTGGTTTAATCGCAAATGAAAGAGACTAATAGCACTACAGAGCTTTCTGGTGATCAAAGGCCAATCAATCGTCTTTGTGGAGTAATTAACTATTTGCTAAAGTTGCAGAATTGATTTCCATTTAGGACTAAGAGAGGAGATTTTAAATGAAGACCGATTTACCAGGCATGAGGATAAAATCCCAGCTCTGATGCCAGGAGATAGTTGAGGTGATGGATTGCAGCCTGCTTACTGGAGACAGAAAAATAGGACTGGGACCTGGCTGTCTCCCACCAGCTTCCGAGAAAGCAGCGCGGATGAGGAGTAAGGCTCCCCAAGCGCAGGCAGCCATTCCTTGCCAAAGGCCGCGTCGGCCGGGGGTGGCCAGGCAGCGTGAGAAAGAGACCCATGGGGACGCCTTGTCTTTCTCACGGATTGGCCAGTTTCCTGCTCTCACTGGAGCCCCAGGTGGACCAGCGATGGCCATTGGCTCCAGGTTCACTGGTGATGCTGAGGAAGCTCCCCTTGTCAAGGTCAGTCCAGAGGAGAACATCCCATTGGAAGGATGGTGGGAGACTGGATTAGAGCAGGTGGCCGAAGTGAGTCTTTGTCCTCGGCCAACCGAAGGCTTCCTCCACCATCGCTGGCCCCTTGCGATGCTTAATTTCCTCTGCTTGCCAGGAAGTTGACCGTCATGTGACTGATTGTGTGACAATCACAGAACTGTTTCTGTGTCAGCCGTTGTCACATCCTTACAGAATGACCGATGTATGGTACCAAAGACTTTTCCAAATGCAAACACCCCCTGCCGCCTCGGTTCTTAGGGCTTGCAGGGAGCAAATGGCCAGGAAACGTTCTGGTCTGTGTGAGGGACATCAGGCAGACACATTTTTAACCCCTTTTATTGCTCTTAAAATAGGGAGAGGGAAATGGAAGAAAACCACAGGCACTGTCAAATTTAAAAAACAAACAAACGCATGAAGTGTTTTTAAGTGAAAAAAATAGCAAAAAAAGAAAGAAAGAAAAGGTATAATAGATTTTAGCTGTAAATATCAAATACAATTATTATTCAATTACATTTATATTTATGATACCTTTATATAACTGTAACATTTAAACCAACTGTACTTTGTGTAAATGAATCTCCTGTTTCATTATATTTGTCAACCTACGAAGTCCCACTCACAGATGCCACGGAGTCCATTCAGGCCTTTAATCCATGCAGTTATATTTCCACATTGGCCATCATAGCATCAGTCTTTGGGGCACCTTAAGGGAACGGAGAATCCATTTATGGCGTCCAGTTGTCAAATTCCAAGTATTAGGTATATAGTTCAAAAGAGAATAAGCCCCTAAAAACGTTAGCTTTTGTCGCACAGTTATCGTATATTTATATAAGCCAATAATTTCCCCCCAAACTTGGCAAGTATGAGACATTGCAAAAGCATGTTTTAAAGGAGCGTTATCTTTATCACATCTCCAGCAAAATGCAGTTTTCAACAGTCCTTTTCTACATAAATGTAAAGGAGCCCCATAAATTCTAACTCTTACTTTTGGTTGTTTAAGTTGTCATTGGAGGCCTATTGACAGTCTTGCCTAGAAGTTAAAACACTCCCATTTTCCAGGGAGTATAAGAACCTCCAGTTCTTTATTCCACTCACCTGTTAGCATCTTCATGTCAAATTGATTTATTTATAACATTCGTAGAAATGAGTGGTAGGGGGTCTTTTAGTTTTAAAAAAAATATCTAGGGGCTTAGAATGCAGTATAGCAGGCTAATTCTGCTGTCTGCCAACTGCCAGCAATTCAGCAGTCTGAATCTCACCGGCTCAAGGTTGACTCAGCCTTCCATCCTTCCGAGGTGGGTAAAATGATGACCCAGATGGTTGGGGACAATATGCTGACTCTGTAAACCGCTTAGAGAGGGCTGTGAAGCACTGTGAAGCGGTATATAAGTCTAAGGGCTGTTGCTAATATATTGCTCAGAGGCCTCAGAAGTTGAAAATTCTCCTGGGGTAAACAGTGTGGTTAACAAATGTTGTAACTGTAATTACTGCCATTGGTAATATTGGTAGATGATATTTGTCTCTTAACACAAGATGTGCTAAAAGTTGATCTTCATCAACTATCAGTTGATGGAAAGTCGGTATTCCTGTTCCATTTAATTTTTCATTAGTGTGTGTGTACATACACACACACACACACACACATATATATATATCTATATGTATAACAATATATGTTATATTTGTGCCGATAAATAAATAAAGGGAGACTAATATAGATCTATTTCAAGCTATTTAGCTCTCATCAGCTAGCCATACCCTTACTGGGAATCGAGCCTGTGCTTTATTTATTTATCAGCACAAATATAACAAATGTAACAAAAAGGCAACAGTAAAAAATATTGGGCTTTCTGTCTGGATGGTCTCTTGTGACGAGCCGAAGGACAGAGAATGGAAGTAGTGATCTTCCTCCCATATTTGGGCATACTGGGGGTTGTAAAATCTAATATATAATATATTTATATATATATATATGCTGTCTTGAGGAGCCAAGTGGGGTTGAGGCCAGGGTGGTGGCAACCTCTTATTGGGGTTGATCAGCGCCTGTCCGGCTTGCCACGCATTGATTCAGCACCATCTGAGCAAAGACAGGGGCCCCCACTGGCAATGAAGCCTGCTGGGCCAGGCTGATCATTCGGAAACCCACCGTGCCAATTCCGGCGTATATTAGGCAGCCGCGGGTTGGGCGACTCCTGCAGGATTGGGGTTGACACTTGAAGAGAGGGGAAAGGACGGGGCTCCCAGCCTCTGCTTCTCTCTCTCAAATTGGATTACTCAGAGCTGCTTGTCCTCTTTAAAGAGCGCTACTCCTCCCGGGTTCTCCCGCTCTCTTCCTAAGTGATGACCATTTAGTGGGCTTTTAGTTACTCCCGGACAGTTAACACTTAATGCCGCCGCCAGCAGCAGCAGCAGCAGCAGCCACAGCGAGTGCTGTTATCTTTCTTGAGAGCCTGCATTGTGCCACCTCTTTTCTCTTTCTCTAAGGAGCATCTCCAGGTTGGAATGCACGGAAATTGGGTGTCTGCCAGCTCTATTCTGCAGGTTGCCAGCCTGGAAAGGTGCCCCTCCCCTTTGCAGCCCTTTAATTCCGCTTCCTATACCCAGCATCGGTCGTTTCTCTCAGTGACCCTGGACCGAGAGAGTGGCAGAAACAGGGCAGCCTGCACATCTGCATGCAGGGGGCCTGAGGGCTCAGCCAGAGCCTCAGCTGCACTCTTCCAATGCGCCTTGGCAGAACTCTTGGTGCCACCTGCAGCCCAGGGAGGATGCTGAAGCCATCCCTGCTCTCTTGCTTCAACATCCCCCCAGGCCACCAGGGGCTCATTAGCTTTGTCACCCTCTGCTGGGAGGGAATCCGTGTGGCTGCGGGGACCTAGAACAGGCGTTCTAGAGGCAGGCATGACTCAGCAGTGCAGAAATCGATTTCCATGCTGCTGAAAGGGAAGGGAAGGTTTGGGTGGGCGCTGGGCCTGCTGCAGCCTGACACGGAGCTCCCCTCTCCATATGAAGGTGAGAGCCTGGACAGCAAAGAGCCTGTGGCATCCGGCCGACAGCTGGGCCTTGGCCCTCAGGGAAGCTTCTAGGTTGCTTCTCTCCCTGATTAGTTTCCACCCATCGCTTCTTGTCCTGCCCTCAGGTGCCTTGGAGAATAGCTAGACTCCCTCTTCTTTGTGGCAGCCACTGAGAGATTGGAAGACTGCTATCCTGTCTCCCTGGTCCTTCTTCTCATTCAACTGGACATCCCCAGTTCCTGCAACCGTTCTTCCTATGTTTCAGCCTCCAGAACCCTAATCCTCTTTGTTGCTCTTCTCTGCACCCTTTCCAGAGTCTCCGCATCTTTTCTACATCGTGGCGACCAAACCTGGGTGCAGGATTCCAAGGGTGGCCTTCCCAAGGCCTTATAGAGTGGCATCAACCCTTCAGGTGATCTTGATTCTCTCCCTCTGTTGACGCAGCCTTTCGGCTTCCTGTGGCTTTGCCCAGCCTCTCCTGTTCCTGTCAGGGCCCGAGGAGGCCCTGCCGATCCCCCCCCCCCCCGCTGATTCCATCCCAGGGAGAATAAGCCACTGCCCCCCCTTGGCCTTGGCAACCTCTTTTCCACAACCAGAGAAATAATCAGAAGGATGCCACTATTCCCCCCCCCCCCGCCACCCCCATTTTCAGGATAAGGTGTGTGCAAATTCTGCCTCCAAATGAAAATGCATGAGGTCTTCCTGGCTGTTCCTGCTGAAATGTTTTCCTTTCCTAGGCCCTGTCGCTTGTGGTTTTCTTACGGCTTGGTATGTAAACAAGGCAGGAGCAGCTTCCGCTTCAGTTGCTCATGAATCCCAGCCCCCCCCCCCGCCCTCCTTTCCCCTTTCCCCACCAGGGCAGCCCAGATTAAATCAAGCAAAAGCCATTCAGTTTTATCTCTGCTTATCTGGAGAGGGTTCCGCGTGGCTTTCTTACGCACCACCAATTACCAGTCCTAAAGTGCCTGTAGAGGCTGGAGCAGCTTTGGGGGCTGAGGAATTCCTGCTTCTCCCTCCAATTCCTTGCCAGATGCCTCCCTCCTCAAGCGCCTGCCGTGGGCTGTTCAATGGCAGAGTCAGGCAGGAAGTGGCTAAACAGCCCTCCCTGAGGAGGGAGGGACATTTGGCAGGGGAGGGGTCCGTGGTGGCTTGGGCCCCTCCTGCTCCTCCTGGAAATCCTCCTCCTCTTCCTCCCCCCCCCCCGCCCCCACAAGTGGCATCCTGTTTGATCTGCAAAGGGGGCTTGGTTGCCAGGAAGCCTTCGGTGTAACCTGGAAGTTGTTGTGTAAGCAGAGAAGGCAGCTTCCCATTGACTAGCTTTCCAGGAGGGCTTTGAACGTGGATGACTGCCTGCCTTGTGGGGTGGGAGGGGGGCTGGCTGGAGGGAGGGAGGGAGGGAGGGGCCTTTTCTGCTCTCCAGAAGCCCAGGGCTTTTTCCTTGCACAGCAACCAGGTGCCACTGCTGCGGCTGACCAGCTCGGAGCCAGGAAGGGGCCTTCTGCCTGAGGAGTGGTCCTCCAGGGGCAGTCCAAGGGGCTCATCCTCTGTGCTGCAGCCCCTCCCTCGCCTCCTTCCCTCTGAGACCCACAATCTGAACGTCTCCGAGAAGGGGGATGGGGAGGGGTGGAAGGGGAAGAGGGAGCATCTTTCAAGGTCTTACTGGGTGTCTGAACTGAAGCCTGGGGACCTGCAGACTCAACCAGAGTATTGAAGGTTCTCAAAAAGGTTCTTCTCTCCCAGACGCTTTTTACTCTTTTGTTATAGATAAGCCCAAAGTAGCTGAGATGCTTTTAAGACAAAAAAAGATCAACTGCAAATACAGGAGCTCAACCACCAACAAATAATAGTTGTAAGCAAGAAAAAATGCCCCAAATAAGACGGCTTAACTTGCCTTCATCTCCGCTGGAGTCTCCCAGAGACACAACCAGGCCTGCTGGGAGAAAAGGTTTGGTTCTCTCTTCTCCCAGCCCACAGCTACGCCTTTCCCTCCGTCACACAGCCCAAGGGAGTTGTGGCCGTGGTCCATGTTCCCCCTGGGCGAAGGACGGGGCAGAAGAGCAGCCGCCTCCTGAAGCTCCACTTGCAGTCCGAAAGGGCCGAGCCGACCTCCTCCTGAAAGCCGCTTCCGCTTCCACTTCAGGCTGCCTTTTCCAGCCAACCCAAATGGGTTTCTTAAAAGTTCTATTACCTTCCCCTTAGCTCAGGGTCTGACTCTGTGTAATCCATGGCTGAGGCTAATTATAGGGTATAATTAAAATGCAGCACAATAGTATGATACTGTTGAATGATACCACAAACTTGTTCCGGCAGCACAGGACAGTGATTGCGCATCATTATTTACTTTTTTGTGAAATGAGATGCTGACGTTTTCAAAAATTAGCTGGAAGTTTCTTAATTGTTAGCAGCAGAAAGATCCTAAATGACAAACTCAGAAAACAAACAAACATCGCACCAAAGAATTAGCCGAAGCCTTTTGGGCAAACGCCAGGATGCCTATGTGGCTCTTCTGTTCCTGAAACCTTCCATTAGCAGAGATGCGCCAGCTTCCCCGGAGGACCTTCTTCTGATTCCCGGAGAGAAAGTGGAGGTCATTTCCTGGGTCATTTCCTACCGGAGGGTTTGGGGTGCGCAGTGTTTGAAGACGCGCAGGCATTCCAAAACAGCCCCCAGAGCTCTGAAGGGATGTAGAAAAGACAGGATTTGGGGAAATCCTCACGGAGTGCAAACTAAAATATCTGGAAGCTTGTGCCTTTGTCCTGGGACACACAAATACAAGAGGTGTCCTTTACCTGCAGCTCATGTTTTGGGAAGCAGCTGATCACGTTCCTAGTGGTTTGCAGTCCCGTGTTGTTCTGGACTTCTGATGTCAGGGACCCTGAACAATTCCGGTGTTTTGAAGGCTGCCTTCAAGTTCACTCCTGGCAATGAAATAAAATGGGCCAGGAGGAGCAAAGGGAGGATAATGGCATAGAGAGCACGGAGTCAGCAGCGGTAAAAAGCACCACCAGTAACGAGTGCGGGGGGGGGGGGGGGGGGGAGCGTAAGGCAGATTGGATTGGGAGCAGCTGGCCTGCCCTGCTCCGGCCCCTCAAGGACGCCCTCAGTTCCTGCCGCCTGTAACCCTGGGAGCCTCCCTTGATGGCCGGCCTGTCCCCTGGAAGGGATGACCCCCTCCCCTCCCCTTTAGAAATCCAGGGGGGGGCGGGGGAGTGTCTCCTGGCTGCCAGAGCCTCGGAGTCAGGAGGAGAAGGTGGGGGGGGGGGGTTTGCTGTTTGTGGGATTTCTGCTGGTGGAGAAGTGAGAGCAACCTCCAAAGACACAACTGTGTCTTCTGCTGACTCAGGGCCCTTCTGACCGAAGAGATCCTGCTCGGAGGAGGGAGCCCTTCTTCCTTGCAGCCCCTGAGAGTCAAGCAAGTGGGGCCCCTTCTGAGCTTCCTGGCTGGTAGGGAGGAGAGGCGGCCTTGGCCTCAGAGGCAGCCGCATGGCCCGGCTGGCCTCTCTGGACCTGAGGCTTCCTGAACAAGAAGCAAGGAGTGCCCGGCAGGTGGGACTGTCCTAAGCGCCCCAGAGAAGCGGGCACAACTTCCTTGGGCTTCTCCTCTCATCTGTCAGCAGGGCCCGTTCTCCTTGGCCAAGGCCGGGCGCTGCCGGGCGCTGCCCAGTGCTGGTGCCGAGGGGGCTCAGAGGCGGCCCAGACGGAGCAGCTGTTCCGCTCCTTCAGCTGCTGCGAGGAGGGAGGGAGGGAGGGAGGGGGGTGCAGGCGTCAGACGCGCAATTCATTCCAGCTGGTGTTAAGTGATAATGGATTCCCCCTCTGCCTGATGCCGGGGCCTTCCGAGCAGCTTCCACACCAGCATGTGGTTTACATGGCAATTAAGGAAGATCAGACGTGTTGGAAAATGGGATACGGCTCATGCTCCCACCCCCCAACCCCAGCAATGCCGGTGCAGGAGGAAGGGGCCAGGCTGGGCTGTGGGGTCCTGGGCAGGCGGGGCCTGGGGGTTTCCGCTCCCGCCCTCACCGGTATCTGCTTCTGCTGGTTACAGAGGGCGATTAGGAGAGAGAGAGGGCCTGCCTTGGGAAGCCCAAAGAGGGCTGGGATGAGGCAGACTGACAGCAGGCCTCGGTGTTTGCAGATGCGTTCTTTAAACGTCTTGAGATGTAAGAGATCTTCTGCACTAATTACTCCGAAGGCTGTATTAATCACGAGACACGTTAATACCCAATCAATAGAGGCATTTGTCAAGGACTTTGTAAATCACCTCTGTTTCTACTCCACTCGGGAGTGGCTGCGGGAGGGGGGTGCCAGGCGGGGAGCACATTTCCCCTCCGCCCCTCCGCCCCCCTCGGCCTGGGGGCCTTGCCAGGAGCTCTTAGGGGGCCTTGTGGGATGGCCTCAGTCCCCTGGAGCCGTAGGGATGCTGCCCCCGGGGACTTCCCTCCAAGAGACCTGTGCAGGGCTGCCAGCCAGCCTCCAGAGACCCTGGCATATCAGAAGCAGCTCTGGGAATCCCTGCCGCTCATTTCTCCCTCTCAGGTGGCTTTCCCGTGATTTTCTTTTATTTGTGGTCTAGACGGGGCTTCTTGGGAATGGAGGACGGACACTTCCAGGTGGTGAGAGAAGAAAAATCCACACCACCTCAGCACCTGCCAACTCCTTCCCCGTGGCACATTGCCGCCCATCGTCCATACAAAGGCCGCTTGGGGGCCATCCTATCTCTCCCCTGGTGTGGCAGATTTGGGGGGGGGGTCATTTCCTCTCCCGAGTCCTCTTAGGGGGAGGTTGGGGTGACAGTCAGGGAACAAGAGGCTTCAGCTGAAGCCTAGCAAGTCCTGGGCTTATAGCTCCACATTCTCGTCAAGAACCTTTGCTCCAAGTTATCCTCGGTCCCCTCCTCAAGTAAGGAGGTGCCTGGAAAAATAGTGTGTGAAGGAACCTGGCAGGAGATCCCTCTTTGAGCCCTGGGTGGAACTGAGCTGGCAGCTGCTGAAACTCTGGAGGAGCAAGTCTTCCTTTCTCCCTCCCCGTCCAACATTCCCAGAGGGAGGTTTTAGAGGAAGGCCTGAGCTGGGCTTCTTTCTCGCTGCCACCTGCGAAGGGCAGGGGCCCCTGATTTGGCCGTCCTCGGTTTTTCTGCACCACCTTCCAGGGCAAAGCTGAGAGTATAAATGCAATGACTCTTCCCACTGGGAAGTCTCGCCTGGAAGAGCTCAGCTCACATCAAACGGTTTCATTTTAGACACTTCGGTTTTAGCTGAAAGGTGAAGCAAGAGAAAAGTCCAAGCTGGTGTAAAGGGGCTTCAGATTGAGCGTCACCCGACCGTTGGAGAGAGCTCCCCAAGGGTCCCATTGAAAGGGTCCCTGCTGCTGGCCAGCCTAAGAGCTCCTGATGGATGGAAACAAGCCCATGTCCTCCACCAAGCTCTCAGATGCCACAATCTGGCTACCCCAGTGAGAAGAGACCAGGATCAGCTGCTGGAAGCCTGAAGTCTTGGCCGGGAGGAGCTCAGGGTGGCCTTTTGACCAATGGTGATTCTCCCCCTGGCGTTGTGTGGTGGTGTCTTCTGCAGCCCGACTGACCCCAGGGGTGGAGGGCTGCCCTCATTGACAGAGGAGGGGAGGAAGCTAAGTGAATATTGTCACAGCCTCCCTTGGTCAGCCAAAGGAGGTTATCAGGGCCAAAGGGGGCTCTCCAGCTTTATAAACCTCCCAGGTTATTCAGAGTCATGATTCCCTCCTTCAACTGTCAATGCTTTTCTTGGGACGGCTAATCCCTCAGCCTGACTGGTGGAAGCCGCTGTATTGATTTCTCTGTCTTTCTAAACCTCCGTTGTGTCTGAAGCTTGTTAGACATCGGAGGGAATTTCCAGTGGGCTCTGGGGGCAATTTGAGAGCAGATGGGCAGCACTTGAGAGAACCTCCGGTAAGGACGCCGGGCGAGGATTGGAGAGCGAGGAAGGGAGACCCCAACCTGGCCCCTCTGAGTAGAAGCAAACCTTTTGGTCTC